TTGTTAAGTAACTTTGAAATTATTCTTAAGCAACAAACTTGAAAAAGAGAGAGGAAGAGAATGTTTACGTCGTCGATAACCTCATACTGCGGATTATTCCTAACACGTTAGCCTAACCCATTTGACAAGCCAATTCTTACAACTTTTACTTCTAATTGACATTTTCTAGTAAGATACTATTATTTTCCATTGTTAAAACAAAAAAAAAATTGACTCATTACAAAAAAATATTGACAGAAAAACTTTTAGCAACAAAAAAATAATAATAATAAAAATGTGTAAGATATAAGCGCATAATCTCTATAGATACATGACGAATTATAAGTTTTCTTTTTACAAAAAATAAAATAAAATTGTTTCGTCTCAAATAGTTCGAATTATATTCTCGTCTTTTCAAGTTTGGCGCATAATATGAAATGTCTCAAATTCTTCATTTTATTATTGATGCTTTGGTATACATTCTGTTTTTTATGTTCTTTTTAAAGTGCTTGTTCATATCTTAATCACATTTTTAACTATAGTCATTATAAACATAGGTACTTTATTTTGTTTTATTTTTATATAATAATTAACTGCATGTTAAAAGTAAGAAAAACATCAAATTAAAGTCGCATATTAAGCTGATGTAATCAACGGGAAACAAATAAAAAGAATGAAATTTTTTAGAAAACTCATATTTTGTAAGACTTTTTTAAAAAAACTAAAAAGAAAAACTTATAAGTTTGTCCTATATTTATGCGCTTATAAAGCCTTATATAATACATTTTCGATTACATTATTTTGCAACACTTCCACCAAGTTCCAAACTAAAGATATTTTTCTAGATATAGTTTTTTGGCCAACTAGTTTTTGCTATAATATAAGACTCCGATGGTGGTGGTTGAAACTTCAAACTAAACCACACAGGTTTAACGTCTTTTAATACTGGAAATAGAATAATACATATATACACCCATATATACACAATGATCGGAGTTTGTATATCGCGATGTTGGTTTATCATGTACACAATATTTGTCGATGAGCTTTTTGATAACATGTCACGTCTTGATTCTTGGTGATTTTTTACTTTTTTAGAATTTAAATCACCCTTGCAAAAATGGAATATACTGATATTAATTAATATACTATATGTTGGTATAAATTTGACCATATACGTTTTCCCACATAAATTTTGCATTGACCATTTCTGAATTTTCTGTAATGATTTGATATTTACATATAAATATGGTCAATATGTTCCTGAAACCAAAAAAAAAAAAAAACTAATGGTTGTGTTTTTGTCGAAATTTCATAAGGTTGATCAATTATATGTTAGTAAGCTGAACAAATATATTGCGTAAGCAAAAGGAGATAGACTTGAGTGTATCATACCGATCAATTTGTGTAAATTCATGATTTTTTTTTTTTTGACAGCACGATTATTTGTTGATTTGTTAAATTAATTAATAATCAATTCATGATTTGTTGAAAAGCTTTAAATTGAGAGTTTGATTGGTTTATCCGCTACCATTCATAAATGAAGTGTTTGCGGATGATAGCCGTTGTTGGTATTTGATAATGATCATGAAAAACGATTTACATCGTTTTGTATTATTTTAAATCTCTCAAAATCAAATGTTGTTTCCGTTGAGCGTTTGCGGTTGGATAAAAAGATACAAATCAAAACTTTAAACACACAATTAACGCGTGTGTGCACGCTCTAAAACAGGCGAGTGAAACGTATTAATTTACTAATCGAACCGTCATTAATTATATGGGTTGTCTCTCTATTTCTGGTTTAAAAGGATTTTAACTTAATTCCCACGTC